AGATCTCATTCAAGGTGGTTGTGAGCCACCATGTGGTTGCCGGGAATTGAACTCAGGACCTCTGGAAGAACAGTCAGTGCTCTCAGCCACTGAGCCATCTCTCCAGCCCCCGACTGTTGGTTTTAAAGTCTCAGACACTGCCTTCTTCAGTCCTCACTCACTCCCCATCGCTTCTTTTTCTTGTTCCTCTTTCTTCCTTCCCTGAGAAAATGAACGATTAGACAGCTAGCCATTTTATCCTTTGGTAAACTGGATGGATGAGGAATCCAGCACTCTGTGCGGGAAGGCAGTCACTTGGCTGTCACTCATGAAAGCCCTTGCTCATCCTAAGAGAGAAAAATGAATTCTGGGTGGGTGGTGACCAACCTGAACAGCCCTCGAGCATCTGTCACAAGGCTACCCATGCTAACTCCCGCCACCTTCCTCCCAGGGTGGCTCGAGCATCTGTCACAAGGCTACCCATGCTAACTCCCGCCACCTTCCTCCCAGGGTGGCTCGAGCATCTGTCACAAGGCTACCCATGCTAACTCCCGCCACCTTCCTCCCAGGGTGGGCTCCACACACCTTGGCTTTAAAAACTAAAGATGTGTGGGCTCACATGTATGTGCTGTGATGTGTGTGTGCGTGCGTGCATGCGTGTGTGTGTGCGCGTGTGTGCGTGCATGCGTGTGTGTGCGTGCGCGTGTGTGCGCGCGTGTGTGCGTGTGTGTGCGCGAGTGTGTGTGTGTGTGTGTGTGTGTGTATGAAGGTCAGAAGACAACCTTGGGCGTCAATCCTCACCTTACACCTTGGTATTTGATTTGCTTCTATACACACTGAGAATACCTGTCTCCACTTCCTGCTTGCTGTATGGACTCCTGGGCCACACCTGTCTCTTACACGGGTTCTGGGAACCCACACTCTGGTCCTCATGACCACACTTCGTGAGCTTTAGTCACAGAGCCGTCCCCCTTGCCTGTCTCTGCTTCTGAATGAGGAGAGGTGGTTTCACCGGTGCTCGCACAGCTGGCCAGGGTCCCTTTTGTTCGGAAGACAGGAGAGCCCAGCCCGGTGAACGACGGGCCTGTCAGTGTCTGAAGCCAGTGAGAACTCTGTTTCTGCTTTCCCGGTTCCGCTGTGACAGGGAGGGGGTAATATTTAGACAGCATGGTAGCACTTAAGCTCTAAGTGTGGACATAAACTTCCTGTTTTCCACAGCAAGAGAAATCGATACTAGAAAGAGCGGTGCTGCCTTAGGTTAGTCTGAGAGGCTCTTGAAGCTGGTCCAAGTTGCAGACAGAGATGAAGGCGGGTGAAATACCCCAGCAGCTAAACGTCGCTGTATTCTGATAGGGTGTGATGCACAGTGACTCACAAAGGCTGGCTTGGATGAATCTGGACTTTTCCTAACGGCCCCTCACTCTTAGGGGTGACACCCAGAAGGGGCCTCGGACTCAGATCTCAGACTCTCAGCCTGCCCAGCAGCCTGAGATACACCACTCCTGTCTCCATTAAAAGTTGCACCAGGTTGGCTTCCTGGTCTCTTACTTAAAACCGTCTGTTCTGATACAGTTACTGTCTCTCTTCTCAGTGTACCTGCAGGATTGCTGCCATATTGGTGACGGAGGGCATGTGACAGTGTTCTCCTCCTCAGTGGTGGTCAGCTGACTGCTGGGTCCCTGGGTCTGGCAGGAAGCATGTGGCTGCTGGTAAGATGTCTGCTCTGAAGGAGTAGGATGTTACCACTTCAAGTCCAAGCCTTGGAGGGATCATGTGTGTGGGGGGGTGGGGAGTGAAAAGACTTCCAGTGAAGTGAGGCCAGTAGTGTCCCTAGACGGACACCACCATCCAACTTCCCAGATATTAGCTTTGGTTTAATCACCTGTGTTGGGTCCCAGCCCCATGGGGTCTCTGTGAGTTGCTGGTCAGCCTACAAGTGCAACTTGTTTTCCAGTCCAAGGGCTTTCTGTTTTCTAGTCCTGGCTTACTGCCCTGGCCTTGACCCTCTGACATCAACATCTAGCAGGAGGAAAATAAGGATCTCTTCTACCTGGGGTTTTTCCACTGTGCTGTAAACCTGTATATAAAGCTCCTCCCTCTTACAAGAGGGAGACCTCTTAGCACTTGCAATGAAGACACACACACACACACACTCTACTGGCAATAAAGGCAGCACATGCATTCTCTTCGTACAAACAAATGGATGGACGTCTTGTCTCTCTTTTCCTGATACCTTGGAGTTGCTTGTGGCGCTGGCGCCACAATTGGAGGTTCCACAACCTGCCCTATGGAGGTCTAGCATTTCCAAATGCCACGATAATACTGATAAGAGCTGGACTGAAGGGAAGTGTAGGCAGGTGGTCCACACAGCCCTCCCAGAGCTGGGATATGAAAGTCCCCGTGCTTTCTGAAGCAAACGAAACACAGCTCCGATCTGGAATCACTCATCGCCTGAGCGGATTCTGCTGATTGTATCTGGGGGGGGGGCCTCTCCTGTAAGGACCAAGTTGCTAAGGAAATCTGCAGACGGCATCCAAGTCCAAGAGACGGGAAGATGGTGTGGGTGGATTATTGATGGGCAGATGGGTGCATGGATGAATGAAGGGGAAGTATAAGTGGATATATGAAGAGATGGGACATAGAACGGCCTGGGCGGTGGACGGAAGCTCGAATGAGAAGGACGGACGGACGGACTTCCTTTCATGGGACTTGGGATTGTATTAGCCGCCTTCCCTCAAGCTCTGGGTAAGAACCTGGTGTTGGCTCTTATTTTTTTTTTTTTTTTTTTTGGTTTTACGAGACAGGGTTTCTCTGTTTTGGAGGCTGTCGGTCCAGCCTGGCCTCGAACTCACAGAGATCCGCCTGCCTCTGCCTCCCGAGTGCTGGGATTAAAGGCGTGCGCCACCAACGCCCGGCTCTGGCGTTGGCTCTTACATGTCCCATCACTTATTTAGGCTCCAAGACGATGCTTGCTGGCCTGGGCGAAGCCTCAGCCGTCAAGCCGGCCTCTTGTCTGGGAAGGGAAAGGCGTCATTATCCCTGTTGTTCTCTGGAGGCTCTGAGAGAGCAGGGGCTTGTCAGCTTCTCTTAAATGGCCCACACTGGACCCGATAATCTTGACACTTGTGGGAGACTGCGACCTACCGTGATGTCTAAGTGCTCATCACTGACTGCCAAGGGAGGTCTCCTGAAAGGGGCCTGTGTCCTAGGTGGCATTTGATGGTGGCAGGAGTCAGAGGAAGTGAAACGCTGAAGTGTTTTTGTTAGGCCGTTGCTGTATCCCTGTACAGCTGTGGTGCTCCTTGGTAAAGAGATAAGGTGTTCATACAAACAGGCTCGTGCTTGTGTGGGAGAGCGCGTGTGCACACGTGTGTGTGTGCGTGCGTGTGTGCGTGCGTGCGTGTGTGTGTGTGTGTGTGTGTGTGTGTGTGTGTGTGTGTGTGTGTGTGTGTGTGTGTAGGCTGGCTGAGAGGGATCCCGTGGCTCACAGGATGTTTTCTTCTGGTAGATTTTGGTACTAGTCGCATAGGATCCGAGAGAGCTGGCCCGGTTCCTTGGGGATGAGAATAAACAGATAGATCCAACCTATTAAGACAGAGAGGGAGCAACATGAAGACTAAGCAAGCTCGGGGATTTCTGGGGCTTAGTATAAACACTAAGTATAAACACGCTAATAGCTGTTTTGATGACCCAGGATCATGCCATCCTGCAAAGCCCTCACCTCCGGATGAGCGGCACCCACAAGGGCAAGATTAGAATACAGGTGGAGGCCACACTCAGCACCAGCCCTCGGCAGTGACCTGCTCAGACAGCTCTTAGGAATAGGAATTGTTCCTAAGACCTGCTAGGCACAGGGAGGCTGTGCAGGAGCAAAGAGACTCCCGGAATTGGCCCTCCCCTCTCAGGCAAGCAGCCTTGCTCAGCTGCCTGCCGGCGGGACAATCAGATGTTTTTGTACCGCCTTCTAATTCCCTCGGTGCCTCCACTGTCCTCTGCTTTGTCCCACACAGGCTGCAATTATTTCCAGAAGTCGGAGCCGTCATGCCTCAGCTCACATTTCCTTCTGTCTGCACACATGTTTGTGTGTGAATCTGTGTGTGCGTGTGCTTGGGACGGAGGCCAGAGGTGGATGTTGGTTCTTTCCCTCAAACACTTCACCTTACTTTTGGACACAAGGTATCTCCCTAAACACAGAGTTCATTGATTTGGCTAGGCTGGCTGGGGCCGGGTCCCTGGGATCCTTTCAGAACTGGGGGTTGTAGCTGTGCATGCTGCTGCACCTGGACTTTTGGCACGGGCCATGCAGATTAGGACTCAGATCTCTGTGGGCGCTGTTTGTGGGCTGAGCCGAATCCCCAGGCCTTTGCTTCCGCCACCATCCCCTTCAGGATCTGGTGAGTCCCGTGCAGTGTGGACACGACCATTTGAAAGCCCGTGATTCAGCAGTATCCGACAGCACAGCCCCAGTGCTGGGCAGCCCACTCTCCAGCTCCGGGACATCTCATTATCCTCAAGGGACCCGCACACCCTCCTGGCGCACAGTCTCTTCGTGCTCCCACTCTGAGCTCCCGGCAATGGCTCCACTGCCTCCCGACTCTGTCCTGGGTGTTCTCTCTAAGTGCATAGGTGGTCTCTGGTCCCTGGCTTCCTTTCGTGCTGTGACAGGTTCTCCAAACTTCTTCACTGCTCATGGCTTAGTAGCGTGTCACCACTTCTCCACTGTCGCCTGGTGGAGACTGGCTTTCTGTCTCCCACTCATGGTGGGAGACATACTGTTATGAACAAAACATTTAGGAAAAGCGTCTGGGTTTCCTCCGTTTAGAGCAAGATTCATTTCATGTGTTCCGGTGCTTAGCACCCATGGAGGCCAGGAGAGGGTGCCAGAGCCCTTGGCTCTCGTAGGTGTCCTCAGGCTCCTTTGGCCTTCCCACATTTCTTCCGGTCCTCCTCTGGCACGCCTGGTTCACTCTGGATGGCAGCTGAATCGATGCCAGGCCTCTCCCTGCATTCTGCATTCCCAGGGCTCTGTCCGGGCAATCGATACTGTATGGAAGTGCTAGACCCTATCTCCATCAGTGGCCTTGAAGACTTGGCTGGGTTGAACTCCCCTCTACCGAGCCTGAGAGGATCCTGCTATGTCGTCTCAGTGTTCCTGACAGAGTACTGGGACTTCCTTGCCCATACAGGTAAAGGCGACCCTGTAAGTTGGCACCATGCCTGTCTACCCCTTCCAAAGCCTAGACATGCCCCAGGCCCTGGCTGAGTCTTCGCTGGGTTTCAAAATGAGAAGGAAGGGAACTTAGGGATATGAGCTTCAGGACAGGATCCTCCCTGGTTAGGGACTGGCAGGCAGGGTCTTGGCGTTAGCACTGGGAGAAGTCTCTGGGGCTGGGCAGCTTCTGGCCTGGTGGGGCAGATACTTACTAGGGAAGAAACAGACATCCCAAGGCCAGTAGGGGGCCTGTTTGCAAGTCCTAGGCCAAGCAGCTGTCCAGGAGTTCTGGCCCAGATGCCCTGGGCTGGCTCTGAGTGGCCCCTGTGTCCTGCTGCTGGCAGCTGCCAGGGAGACAATAGGAATGGAGGAAAGAGAGCCAGCTGTACCCCAGTCTCCCAAACCCGACAGGAATAAAATGACTGGGCTGAAGGGGAAAACAGCCCTGTGGTGTTCTGCGTCAACATAGCTTCCTAGGGTGCAGTCGGCTGGTCTGGTTAGAACCTGCTTGCTCACTGCAGGAAAGGAAGCCTTGAGAAGCTCCTGAAGCAGGAAGGGATGGGAGGGGGTGGGGAGGGGGGGGAGTGATTGGTGGTGACTTTCTGTGGAGACTTCATCTTGTCCCAGGAGACCAGATGGGGGACAGTGGAATACCTGTGGCCATCGTGGCTGCTATTTCATCTTCCTGCTCTGTCTTGGGTGGTCACTTCTCTCTTGGCTAAGGACACAGGCTGCCCTTTGTTATTCGATGATCAGAACGAGGACCAGGGGGCCTGCCCCTTCCTGCTCTGCACAGTCTTCTAGGAATGGCATGCCCCCTTCCTCTCCTCCCCTCTATGACCCCCACATCCTCCCCCCTGCCTGGCTGTGTTGATCAATCAGCTAGCTGCACGGCCCTCGGGCAAGCTCTCCAGCTCCTCTTGATTCTGGTTGAGTTTCTGGCTTATGCTATTTTCTTTAATCCCATTTCTTTATTCACCCCAGACCTGCCAAATCCTCTAATTTTTTTCTTTTTAAGACAAGGTCTCACTGTGTAGCCCTGGATGGTTTGGGGCTCACTATGTAGACCAGGTTGGCCTTGATTTAAAAAAAAGCTCTGCTTGCCTCTGCCTCCTCAGTGCTGGTATTAAAGGTGTGTGCCACCACACCCAGCATCCCTGGTTCTTATAGATTTTATTTTCCAGACTCTAGGAAGGTTTTCTCCCTCCTGCTGCCTTCTCTATACACACCTGTGTGTGTATACATGTGTATGTGTGCATACATGTGTATGTATGTGTGTGTGTACATGTGTGTAGAGTGTAGCCTTCCTGCCAGCCTGGTTCCAGAGTCACATCAGTCCCAAATGAGCACACAGGAGGCTGTATTAATTATGAAGCTGTTGGCCACTTGCTTGTTTTCTTACTGGCTATCTCTGACTTAAGTATTTACTCCATAATTGTTAATCTAAGTATTTCTATTACCGGAGAAAGGGGTCCGAACCTCTTATTCCTATGGTGGCTACATCACGACTGCCTGTGTCTCTCTTTCCCAGAATCCTCCTCAACTCCTAGTACCACATATCTTGCTTCCCTATTGGCCAACAGTGCTTTATTGACATATACACAGGACTTCCCCATCATCTCCTCTTTTCTGTCTAAATAAAAAGAAAGGTTTTAACTTTAACATAGTCAAATTATATATAACAGAACAGTCATATATAAGAACATAGTTACAATATTTTGTCCATTAACATTTAGTAAGATTTAAAGAAAGTATTTTATCATCTATCCTATCTGTATGAGTCTCAAGTCTTATATGTAGCTAATCTTTTATCATAACTAAGGAAAACTATGATGATAACTATCTGCCTTCAACTCCATCAAAGATCACAGAAGGATAATATATACACACTAGGATTGACAGAGACATCTCGCTACCTGGGCAGCCACCAGAAGTTATGTTGGGGCATCCATCTTCAGCCCATAGGCCACAGTGTGTCTGGAAGTCTTCTCAGCAAATCAGGAAATTTCAAACTGTCAATCTGCATTGGCAGGCTATCATTCATTTTTCTGTGTCCTGCAGAAAGACTCTTCCATGAATCAGGAACCCTGAAGGACTGTTTGAGTTCAGCAGTCACTTTCCTGTGGGTCCTGCATGTCCAGTTTATACAGCAACAGTCAAGCAGTCTAGGCAAGAGCAGTTTCTTGCCCAAATGGCTAATCTTGCCATGTTGAAAGCAAACTCCATAATGAGTTTCTTCGATGCCCATCTTCCTCTCAGATGTAATTGATGTGCCAGGAGCAGACATTTCTCATTGTCAAGAAAAACCCTAAACCATTTTTAAGTGCCATTTTCTGAAGGTCTTTGAAAGTTTTGAGGACTGTCTATCGCAAATATATCTCTGTATATCTAAAAAACCTAACTAACCTAACTATAAGTTCTGACTATTATAAGTAACTATCTATAGTCTGTATTTAATGATGCATTACGTTTTAAAAGATCAGTATAAGCACAATACTTAATCAAGAGGAGAAATATACACATCACAAAATTGACCTTGAATTTGTATTAATAAATGAAAAACCATACCAATAAAAAGTATTCATTTCCATACCATATGTCTCCTTTTACCATTAAAAAGAGATTGGTTGTGATCATTAACCAATTATAAGCAACCCCATTCAAATGAAAACAAAGATTTATGAACAATATGGGAATTTGGACGTTGCTCATTCCAAACTGCTTCCTGCTGGAAGGTGGTGCTTTTCCTACCATGGGGATCATGACAAAACTCAGAAACCTTGGCCAAGTCCTTGTTTTTTGTAGTCCTTAAGGCTGCATCATCTCAGCTGTTTCAGATGCTGGATCACCTGGCCCACTGCTTCCAGGGGTCTTGGTTCATCAAACCACAGAAGCCTGGAAGGAATCCACAGCTTTCCATTTTCTGTGGAAACATAAACAAAAAGTCTTTTCCCAAGTAACCGGTCCTTATATTTAAAGTTAAAGTTAAATCATTTTTTGAAATACATAAGTTGGATTAATTCAGCAGCATTCATAATCAAGTATATTTCAGTAGTTGATCCTTCCTTAGCCACTGAACAACTGAAAAACACAATAGCATACAGCATCCAGATTTTCTGTGTATTTTCCATCTTTACGTGGCTTATATTACTCTATGTCTTTTACTTTTATTTATTTTTTTATTTCTCTGAGACAGGGTTTCTCTGGAAATTCGCCTGCCTCTGCCTCTGGAGCAAATCCTACCGGCGTGCGCCACTATAGCCGGCTTCTCTATTTATTTACCACTATGCCTTTTCTTTCTCACTTTCAGTCCTACGTATATCTATAAACACACTGTAAACCTTTAGAGGTTTTTCTTCATCTGAATCTTTATGTGTTTCTGGCCATGTGTCTTATCTGCTAAAAAACCATGGCTGTTTAAACTGCAGTTTTTCCAAGATGGTGGGCATAAGTTTGACTCCAGCTTACCACCTCAGTCCATGCCGACATCCAGCAAAATCTGCCGGCTTGGAGATGTGGTCACTGCCACTTCCAGCTGTACGTACACACCTTTCAATCATTAGCAGAGCCTCTTAAAAGAACCTTGCTGGTTTTTTTTTTTTTTGCTTATGCTGAGTCAGGAAGACTCCCTTAAGTGAGCTATGTGAGTCTCTAGCAAAACAGAGCTCACCTGAGAAAAATGCTGCTATCAAGAAGCTGTGCTTCTCTCCATTCTTTTGTTTCTAAAATTCCTTTTAAGCTCTTGTCATTCTACATGGAAATTCAGTCCCACTTCTGACAACCATATGTAGAGTGCAGCCTTCCCGCCAGCCTGGTTCCAGAGCCGCATTAGTTCCAAATGAACACACAGGATGCTATATTAATAATGAAGTTGTTGGCCATTTGCTTGGTTTCCTGCTGGATATCTCTGCCTTAAGTATTTACCCCATAATTGTTAATCTAAGTATTTCTCTTACCGGGGAAAAGGGTCCGGACCTCTTATTCCTATGGAGGCTACATCACGACTGCCTGTGTCTCTCTTTCCCAGAATCCTCCTCAACTCCTAGTCCCACCTATCTTGCTTCCCTATTGGCCAACAGTGCTTTATTGACATATACACAGGACTTCCCCATCACATGTGTATGTGTGTGTGTATATGTGGAAGCCAGAGGTCAAAAATGGTGTGTTATTTCTCAGGAGCCAAACACCCTGCTGTTTTTACTGTTGTTTTCGAGACGAGGTCTCCCACTTGCCCCGGAGCTCACCAAGTACGCTAGGCTGGACAGCCAAGTGAGCTCCAGGGATGCCCCCTCCTGTATCATGCCTCCCTAGGGAAGGCTTACAGACATGCACTCTCGTGCCCAACGTTTCTCTCGTGGGTTCTAGGGATCGAACTCCCAACCTCGGGCTTGCACGGCCAGCACTTTACCAACTGAGCCCCTCACGCCTAGGAAACTCGTCTTGGAGGAAGAAACACAGTGTTCTTTTGCCCCAATTAGGGCACAAGGGAAGGCATGAGGTTTTCAGTGGTCGATCTGAGGAGACGTGGGGCAGAGGCATTCTGTGCGTCTGGCTGTCCCTAGGCGTTGACACACTGACTTCAAGGAGAGGGTCCTAGTGCAGGCAGCTCCAGCCCCTGTGTCCGGAAACAGGGCCTGCAGGTTAAACTAAGCAGTGGAAGGCTTCCGTTTAACCGGAGCACACCTGCAGCCCGGATGGTGACAGGCTGCCCCTTTGTGTGTCTCCTAGGGACCCTCTGAGCCCTCCACGGTGACCTCCTGTCTTCTCCCCATCCGGGAGCTCAGGGACTTTCAGTTGTGTCACTACAGGTCTCCAGGGACAGGAGAGGCTTGGAGACAGATTCTGTCTTGGAGAGGACCCAGAACAAAGGACCTGAGACGGGCTTGAAGGGCATGGTCAAGGAAGATCCAATCCTGGTGGCCTCTGCATGAGACTTGAACTTTTCCGTAGGCCTGGGCTGGCTGAGAAGCGGCCAGCTCAGTGACTGGGCTTGGAACCATAGTGGCCGGCAGGGTAGCTTTGGCACTGGATGCCAAGTTTGGATTCCCTTGGAGACGTTAGCCCGTGCCATGCTGCCACATTGGAGGGCTGCCCTGATGCTGGTGCTGCTGTGCCGGGCTCTCTGACCGTGGCCTCCCGGCCAGGCAGATCAGATGTGTGCTAGAGGTTTCTGGTTGCTTCTACCGCTCTGGCCTGGGATGACATCAGCACACACATCTTCAGGGCATGGGGTGTGACATCCTTTCCAAGTGTGAGGGTCAGTGCCCTGGGGTGCTGGTCTTTGACTAAAGGGGAGCTGGACACCTCAGCAGGTAGAACATTCCTCTTCCCGCCTCAGCACTGGGCTATTGGGCCCTTAGGTTTGGACAGGAACTCAGCGCAGGCCAGGTTGACTCATCTTCTGGGGTGGGCTAAGCTCTGCCTAGCTTCAGCTCCCCCTGCCTGCGCTCTCCCCCTTTCTCCCTTGTGGTGCTGGGTTTATCCCTCCTGCACCCCAGGCCTGGACCCAGACTTCATTTGCTAGGACTCCCACATCAGGACCCGTTGCTTCTGGCTGGTGTGGAAGGTTTGGCTTTGCTCTGGTTTTTCCCTGGCCTCTGCTGAGACACCAGTCAGGCCCCAACCTGAGGGTGTGGGTGCCTAGGAGGACAGTGTCTACCTTCTTTCCTTAGAGTCTGTTTCAGGGGTCAGGAGGGTGGAGGGTTGTTCCCTGTGATCAGTTGAAAAACCAAGGTGCTCTTTGTATCTGTGCATGTATGTGTCATACATGTATGCATGTGTGTGTCATACATACATAGCCTCAGCACAGCTACACACATGTACGCATCTATCTATCCATGTGTGCTAGTGAGATATTTCTATTGATGTGAACATATATGTGTGTGTGTGTGTGTGCATGCATGTATGTTCATGGTCACATATAAGCACACATGTGACATGCATGCTTGTTGTTACATAGACATGGATGCATGCATAGTTTTGTACACATGTTCATACATGTATGTGCTTATGAACAGGTGTGTGTATGTATAGATGGCCTGCTGACGACGGGATCCATAAATGGGAGTCCATTCTATCTTGCCATGAGTTTAGAGAGCTCAAAGCATTCCTATTGTCCTTAAGACATTAGCTTAACGGCTGCAGGATGCCCTGGCCTTGGTGGTGGATGTCTCCTATCTAAACAATAGACTTGGCCCAGGTGGGTTTACTCTCACCCCGAAGGCTGGTGATAGGTGCAGCTATGAAGTGCCTGAGGGCCAAGTAGTACATGCAGCTCCATAGTGTCTTTAGGGTTAAGGGAAGTAATTGCTATTTGCCCTTCGTGCATGATAATAAAGGTCTTCTGTCATTGCCCCCACCTCTGGCTGATTAAAGATGGTGCATGAATAAACTGAGGCACATTCAGCATGGACTGAAATTGCCCTCCTGACAGCTCTTCTGTGTCTCTGACTCTTAACTCTCTTAGCTAGCCTTTCCCTCATCCACACTCCCTGACTCAGGAATGGACCCGGGGCTGATAGGCTGGTCCCAACTGCAGCCCCACAAATACCAGTCTGCGACAGCACACCCCCGTAAATGCCAGCTGGGGAGGGTATTTATAATCTTGCATATTTTAGGACCACCTGTCTCCTTCCTTTCCTTGCCCTGGCCCGAGCTAGCAGGACCACCAGGCTGAGGCCCAACCACACAGTACCGCCAGCGTGAGGCCCAAACATGCAGGACCACCAGGGTATGACCAAACAACACAGCACCACCAGACTGAGGCCCAGCATGCAGGACCGCCGTGTAAGGCCCCAGCACGAAGGACCAGCGGGTAAGGCCCCAGCACACAGGACCACCAGGCTGAGGCCCCAGCACGTGGGATCACCGGGTAAGGCCCCAGCACTCAGGACCACCGGGTAAGGCCCCAGCACGCGGGACCACCAGGCTGAGGCTCCAGCACTCAGGACCACCGGGTAAGGCCCCTCCTCAATGCTCTGCCTTCTCAGCTCCTGGTGATGGACCGTCTCCCACAGATGTGATGACTCTCCTCCCATTCTTCCTTAATTAGGTTCCATAAAGTATCTCCTGCCGTGAGTCCTGGTTCAGTAATTACTGTATCTTTCAGGTTCAAGGAAACCTGCATCTTTCCTTTTAGTAATTTAACAGAATATTTCACACTGTCAGGGCTAAATGCCTTCCAGGTCCCCCAGACTCTCCCGACAGTCTCGCACTATTGTTTGCAATCCCGGCAAAGGCTGATTTTCCTCTAGTCCCTTTCTGGGAGATGGTTGGGTCAGGTTTTTGCTGCTTACATTTCCCATAATTCTCCTCATTTCCTAGTCCTGCCTATCTTCCTCGCCTCTATTGGCTACAGTGTTTTACTCATCAACCAATAAGAGAAACATAAATACAGAAGGACATCCCCTATCAATCAGTGTTACTTACAGGAATTATGAGTGAGGGGTGAGTTATGGGAGCATAAATGACTCAAAGACAGCTGTGCCACCAAAAGCCCGTCCCAGCATGGGGGGACAGCTCACAAAAGCTGGAAATCTGACGTGCCTTGCACAGCCTGCAGACAGATCAGTGGGTTGGAGAGTGTCCTTTCCAGGTGGCTCACTTGGTCTCAGTTTCTTCCAGGCAGCTCAGCTTGTCTGAGAGTGTCTCCCACAGAATTTACTGTTCATATGTACTTGGGAGAGGGAGGAGCCTAGTGAATCTGGTCAGTTTCAGGGACTTCCTGACGCTAATTTGAGTTGTTTACTTCCTGTCTTAAGGAAGTAAGGTTTTTGTCTCAGAGGAGACTGCTGCACAACATCATACAGGGCCAGTGCCTACTCTCCTGGGGCTATAACACACAGGGCCTGCACTGGGACATCACACACACACACACACACACACACACACACACACACACATATCCCTTCTGTATTAGCAACTTTCCTTGTTGCTGTGACAAAAACACCAGACAAAAGCAACTTAAGAAGGGCTGATTAATTAATATATTTTTTAATTTAAGTGTTTTCCTGACATGTGTGTCTGTGTACCATGCACGTGTCTGGTACTTGTGGAGATCAAGGAGAAGGGCAATGGATTCCTCAGAACTGGCATAACAGATTGCTGTGAGTTGCCATGAGGGTGCGGGCATTGAACCTGAGTCCTCTGTAATCGCAGCCAGTGCTCTTAAACCCCAGAGCCATCTCTCCAGCCCTAGAAATGCTTATTTTTGACTCACGGTTTGAGGGTACAGTTCATCATGGTGGAGAGGTCAAGGCAGCAGGGCCCCGAGACAGCTAAGTCACACTGCATCTGCAGTTAGCAAGGAGAGAGGGCGTGTGAGGGTGGGGGAGAGTGTGAGAGGGCAGAAGAGGGAGGGGGAGGGGGAGGGGGAGGGGAGGAGGGAGGGGGAGGAGGAGTGAGAATTTGAGAGGGCAGAAGAGGGAGGGGAGGGGGAGGGGGGACAATGCCAGTTACTTTCTTATTCAGTGGAGACCTGCAGCCCATGAAACAGTGCCCCCCCCACCCCACAGGGTGGGCCTTCCCTCCATATTAGACCTTCCTGGAAACTCCCTAGGTCTCTTAGGTGATTCCAAATCCTGTTAAGTCGACACTGATGAGTCCCAGTCAGACCTTCGTACAGGTGTGAGCCCCGTCTCCCCTCAGGAATTTCCTTGGTTCTGGGTGCTCCCACCGTGGGCAATCAGAGGTGTGTTTCAGAACCATCACCGGTGCTAATCAAGGTAAGAAACAGAAAGCAGAGGTTTAGAACTCTTGGTGGTAATTTTCTGCCGATTGAATCCCATAAAAAAACTGGAGAATTATAGTTTTCATCTCATTTTTCTGGTCATTTACTGTTTCAAGGGAGCATTAGCTTCATGGAGGAGCAGAGATGATGTGTGCCCCGTAGACAGCGAGGAGAGCCCTGCGCCTGAGGGTTCAGATATGACGTGCCATTGCTGCGTTCACGTGAGAGAACTGCAATGCATTGTGGTCAGGGGGAGTCTTTTCTTTCTTTCTTGGAACTTGGCCGTTTAAGGTTTTTTGCTCCTTTAAATTTTTACTTTATTTTTGTTACAGAAATTCCCCGTGTGCATGAGCAAGAGCTAGCCAGCCTAAGTCCCAGCATGGATGGATGTGGGAGGGGCTCAAGAAGTCCCACCCCTACCGGAGGAGACATTGGCTAGGACTCTGAGCTGCCTTGCTGGGGGATGATTAGAGGCCCCTCCCCAGCCGCACATCCACGGGTGTGAATGGTGCTTTGGGAAAAGGGTCTTCATAGACCACCGGGGGACTTGAGATAAGACTTCCTTCATTATCCAGGTTGATCTAAATCCAGTGACAAGTGTCCTTGAAGGAGAGACGCAGGAGAGGCAGGTGGGACAGAGGACTGACTGCCAAGAGAGTGGCAGAGCCTAGAGGGTGCAGCTGCCTGCAGAGGTATGTAGAGATGAGGCAGACATATTAAACTACACAACTTTAGGGATGTCCTATGATTTATTGAGATCTCCTTATTGAGGGAGAAGTCACTTACGTGAGGAGCCAAGAAAGCTGAGAAGCAAAGGTCCGCACACCGCTCTCCAGGTCAAAACCGAAACCCAAAGAGAAAGCCATCCCTGGGCGGGTGGTCCCGGGTTCTACTAGAAAGAAGACTGAGCAAGCCATGAGGAGCAAGTCAGCAAGCAGTTCCCTCCATGGCCTCTGCATCAGCTCCTGCCTCCAGGTTCCTGCCCTGCTTCAGTCCCTGTCCTGACTTCCTTTCATGATGAACAGTGCTGTGGAAATGTAAGACAAATAAACCCTTTCCTCCCCCAACCTGCTTTTGCTCACGGTGTTCCGTCCCAGCAATAGAAACCCAAACTAAGACAGCATTTTCAGAGTCCCCAGAAAATGCTGAGTGTCTGCCCCAGAGTGCCTGGAGGCCGACTATTTTGGGTTCACCCCAAAGCCATGCCCTACTCCACTTGAAGCCCTCCAGCATCAGTCAATCAATCATACCAGTGGCCCCAGTAGCAGGGCTGAAGCTGTGTGTGAGTTAACCATGTGCTCAGACTGCAGCTGTATGGAGTTGTGTCTTCAGTGGGTCTGTGTGGAGAGGAACACGGGTCCGTGGGAGTACACAGCCGGACAAGGTTACTCTCAAAGGCACACCCAGTTGTCCCTGCTCTGCGTGGCTTCTGCTTTCCAGGGACCATCCCCTTTACTCTATTGCTTCTGCTCATAGGCTGGTGAGAGAGGAGGGGAGATCTCTCCCCTCTGGAGAAGTAGAGATATTTATAATATTTACAGGGCTGATGCCGCAAGATGCAGCCAGCCTCAATAGATCCTTTTAAGACGAAATCCATCAACAACCCCTCCTCAAATCCCTATAGACAACTTGACTAAGTACCCTCCGTCGTGCCGGGTGGGCAGGCTTCTACATGAAATAATGACTCAAGGAACACTGTGTTCGACAAGTTGCCAGAAATAAATAATAAGTCTCGGCCTGGCGGATGACAAAGACCTCAAACAGGCATCAGGACGTCCTAAAGCTAGACAGATGATGTCGGAAGCAGAGTGTGGGCCCACGTCCCCCTGCCCTGAGCAAGGTGCCTGGAATCTGTCGCTCTCCTTCCTGTCCCCATAGACAGAGCATGAAAAACAGTCAGGGAGGCCACACATCCACACCCATCACCCCGACAGCACACTTACAATGAGAACTGTAAATTTGGCAGAAGGGGCAGGGGCCCGAGTTCTGGCCCCTCTGTGGGCTCCTAGGTGCAACCCAGAGGTTTCTGGAAGAAAAGACGAGAACAGGCTCACTGCCCGAGTGCAGAGTTTTATTTGTTAGTACTGGAATTTGGGGCTGCTTCCTCTCCACTGTCTCCCTGTGCTGGGAGGGTGCTCCTCTCTGAGTGCCCCTCCTCCCATCTCTGTTACCTGGCCTGGTTCCCTTCGCTGGCTCCAGGTTTCTTGGTGGTAGAAACTTGGTTTAATGGCCAGCTCTGAGATTCAGCAGAACATCCGGTACCTAGTAGCGGGTGTCTAAGAAATAATTGTTAGGAGCACCCATAGCGGAAGCTCTCACTGGATGAAGAACATGAAATTGGGAAGAGATATATACCAGAGAGGATATATACTAGAGGGGATATATATTAGAGGGGATGTATATTAGAGGGGATATATATTATTTCGGATATATGTATACTAGAGGGGATATATATTAGAGAGTCTGGGAAGAGTTGGAGGGGAAGAATTGAGGCCGGATAGGATCAAAATACATTGCAGTCGCCTATGAAATTCTCAAGGAACTTTTAAGCATTTTTAAAAAGGAAATGATTTCTTAAAGGGTACTGACTGACAATGAAGGTTCTGGAAGGGGCTGGATGCGGGTTGCTATCCGGGTTCTGAAATACCCGGACCTTTATGGGTGTGTTAAACACAGCCGTGCTTGGCTCGGCTGGAGAGATGGGCTCGGTGGTTAGGAGCACATGCTGCTTTTCCAGAGGACCCAGGTTTGATTCCCCATACCCACACGGTGGCTCACAATGACTTGCGACACCAGCTCTAGGTGACCTGACTCCCTCTACTGCCCTTGGTAGGAACCAGGCACTAGATATGTCTCTTTCGGAGTCACTGTCCTTTATGTAGTTAGTCATTAACTGGAACCATCCTTGTGTGACCTGTACACACCGTGGATGCCTTTGGTCCTATTCGGGAGCTCTTGGAGGCAGAGAGTGCACTAACACAGGTGCCGAGCCGTCACCACAAGCCGACTCCCAGCTGGTGCGCGCCCATGGCCACTAACTTCCCACTCTTCCCCACCCCAAACTGCCTTCAGCCCCTCTAGGACCCCACACGAGTGGAGCTACACAGTCTTAGTCCTTCCGTGACTGGTGTGCAACTTGAGCCTCCTTTCCTCTTTCTTGTATGTGGATCCATGTGTGTTTATGTTCATGAGTGTGCAGGTGGACACATGTGCTTATGTGTGAGGAGCCCAGAGGTCAGTCTTGGATGTCGTTCCCAGGTGCCGTCTACCTCATTTTTTTTTTTTTTGAGATGAGAGTCTCTCGCTGGCTTGGAGGTCACCCATTCGACTGGCACAGCTGGATAGAAAGCCCAAGGTACCCCTGTCTTGACCTCCCCAGAGGTGGGAATACATGCACTTACCACCACACCTGGCCTTTGTAAACGGGTTCCGGGGGAATTGGACCCGCGTCTTCGTGTGTGCACAGTAGGTGCTTTCCTCACTGAGCTGCTTCTCCAGCTCCCTTCACCCCTTTCCTTTTGGGCTGAAAGATGCTCTGACATTCTCTTTTCGGTGTGAATGGCTGAGAAGCCCCCCTGCCGGGGTGGGGTGGGGTGGGATGGGGGTGGTCCCCAGACACAGGTCCCGGCTTTGTTTCCATCCCCGACAACCAGCTGTGGTGCCTTCTCCTTGTTTGGCACTCTCAGCGGCCTGCCTCTGCCCTGGAGACCCCATGGTGGTGGCTCAGAGGATGCAGATCCTGGAGGGCTTACTATGAGGGGGGGTCATCTGGAGGGGAGGCAGCAGAGATCGGAGGGCAGGAGGGTGGGGACCCGCCCCGGCACTTCTGGCCACCGAACGGCTTCTGCCACCTTTTCCTTTCCTGCTTGTCTTCAGAAGCTTCTTGTTGTCTTAGCAGCAGGGCCTCAACCGACCTGGGGGTCCCTTCTGCCTCTTAGAGGTGTCCCCAGGCCTAGCTGTGTTTTGTCAGTGGCCAGATAGTGGCAACTCCCAGAGACAGGGTGTTTGGGCTAAGCCAAAACCGGTGACCTGCAAATGAAGGCCCCTAAATCCCATTAGCCGCTCCGCAGTCATCATGCCCTCAATCTCTTCTCCCTCTTTCGGTGTGGGGCCTGTCACTAGCTCTTAGAGACGGTTGTGAATCTGTCACTTGCCTGGAAACCTGGCTCCATTTTCAGCAGCCGGATTCGTCTTTATCATTTGTGAATTTTTTTTAAAGTAATTGCCCGTTTTACCCCCCATTCTTCTTGTCTGTGTTGTGAATGTTCTTATTTAAAGTGAAGCTTGGGGAGCTATTGTTAGCCCTGGGTTGGATCAAGGGAGCATGCAAACGTGTCAAAATGTGCCGTGACAAATCTGGGTTATTTTTCTGCAGAGATGGTTTGCAGGCTTGGATTTAAAGCCAACCAGAGCTTCAAAGTGTTATGTTCAAAGCATTTCCATGGTCTTTGATAAGCGGTGATGCACCCATCCCATCTGACAGGTGGCCTTGGGGGCCGAAGGGAGCACCCATGCAAAAGGGGCCTCTGTAGAGGAGTGCTACACCCAGCGGGGGGAAGAGAGAGAGAGAGAGAGAGAGAGAGAGAGAGAGAGAGAGAGAGAGAGAGAGAGAGAGAGAGAACCAATCTCAGTGCTCTGCAGCCCTATGTGTAGGCCAATGATTTCCTCTTTGACCTCAGCTCCACCTGTGACCTGGGAAGCCTCAGCTTTGCAAGTCTGATAATCTCACCAGCTGCCTTTCCTTTGGAGCGGAGGAAACCGCCTGTGTGATAGCTAATCTCCCCAGTTTGATGGGATTTAGGATCACCATGGAAACAATAAATGTCCGGGTGTGTCTACAGGGGTGTCTGTTTGCAGAAAGGCTGAATGAGGGAAGGACCCACCCTGAATGTGAGTGGCAGCACCCTGCAGGCCAGGTCTGGGACCACATCAAAAGGGAGAACGTGAGCTGGGCTCCAGCCTTCATCTGTGTCTGCTTCCTGGCTGCTGATGCAATGTGAGCAGCTGCCTCGGGGCGCTCCTGTTGTCACGCCTTCCCGCTGGTGTGCAGTCCCAGACTGCAAGCCAAATGTTAGCCCTTCCTCCCTTAAGGTGGCTTGTCCAGCAAAGAGAAAAGCAGCCAGCACAGCCTTGCTTCTTGGTGAGGTATGGGATGAGTCTCTGTGGCCCCCATTTCCCCCTTTAGATCTTCATGTCAAGCCCTCTTCCTATTTCTAGGAAACTTGGACTTCCTGCATGGACTTGGCCAGGAAAAGAGTTTAGGGACAGAGCCATGTGACCCAGACATGGGTCTGAGGAGGCACTGAGACCATCTGCATGCATCTTCAATGTTCAGGGGCATCAGGCTTGGTGCTGTCTCCTAAAGGAGTTTAAACACACACACACACACACACACACACACACACACGGAGTCATTGTGTGTTTAAAAGAATTTAAAATAATTTCTTCACTTTAAAAAAAAGTCCATCTGGGCGGTAGTGGGGCACGCCTTTATTCCCAGCGCTTGGGAGGCAGAGGCAGGCAGATCTCTGTGAGTTCGAGGCCAGCCTGGTCTACAGAGCGAGTTCCAGGACAGTCTCCAAAACAATACAGAGAAACCCTGTCTCGAGAAACAAACAACAAACAAACAAACAAATTCAAATCTATATTATTCTTTTGAGAAAGAAGAAGGCACTACTGTACTATGCCTATGGGCCCTCAGAGTGACTGCTGCCTGGATCTGAGAAGCCTTTCAAAGCAGAAGCTTCCACCTGCGACTGTTGCTACCCCTCCTGAGGCCTCCCCAGAGCTGGCTTCGCTGTTTTTGCTCCCTGACCCAAGCCTGGTGTCCATGATGTCTGCCTGGCTCTGTGGACACCTGATTTTCTTGCTCCGTGTGGAAGAGTGTGCTGAGGGTCAAGTTTTCCTACTGGCCGGGAGTCTGTTTCTTCTGGCAGTCAATCTACAGCCACCGGTGGTATCTGAACAAAAATGACGCCCCCTTCCCCCGCAGCTCACATATCTGAATGCTCAGCCCCCAGGT